CGCTGGCTTGGCCTGAGACACGCAGCCTACACCAGTCTGTGTGGGGTGCCAAAAAAGACACGATGAATCCCCAGAGCGACCTGCTGCCGCCCCACGCCCACGGCCGCAAGTCGTCGCGCAGCGGCTCCATCTCGTCGTCGTCGGTCGTCACGGTCAAGCGGTCAGCCTCGCTATCGCTGGCGGCACCGGACGCGCACCTCCCGGACCCATCCACCAAACCCCACCCGCGAGCCACACCGCCGCCAGCCCAGGCACGACGGCGGAGCAGCGCAGCCAACGGCGCAGCAGAAGGCATTGGAGCAGAGAGGGATCACCAAGCATCGGGCACCTTGTCCACCACAAACGGCAACGTGAACCGCTGGTCCCAGAGCACCGCGGGCAGCACCCGTGAGCCCGACCAGCAACACTACCACCACCACCACCACCACCAACAACAACAACACCACTATCAGCACCAGTACAGCTTCTCGCGCAAGCTGAGCCTCACCTCCCAGAGCCTCGTCAATGGAGCTGCACCGCACCCCGTCTCGCCCCCCCGCACCGCCTCTAGGACGCAGGCCGCTTCTCGCTCGCCCACGAGTTCCCCCCGCGCGCGCCCGCGATCCCCCGTATACGATTCTTCTTCTTCTTCCTCACTCCAGGCGGTGACGGCAGCACCCGCCCCCAGGAAACCCTCGCTGGGCCCAGTGCTGCTGCCCTCGTCCGTCTACGACCCAAATACCCCGACGAGCGCCTCGACGACCAACTCGCCCTCGGCATCCAGTCTCTTCACCCCGACGCTAATCACCGGTTACCAGCAGCGGGATTATTTCAACTCCAAACCCGCCCCTGTGCCTCAGCCGCAGACGCAGCGCCCGCCCTCGCGCACCCACGTGGACAAGGTGCTGGGCAAGTCTCCCCTCGGGTCGCCAGGCCCGCACGACGCCGACGCAAGGTACGAGGTAACTCCGGGCTCAGCTCGGCCCTCTACAGTACGACCGCCTTCGGTCGCTGCAGCGGCAACTCGAGATTCCGCCCAAAAGCCCCCACCCACTGTAGGCCACAGGCAGATCGCCTCCCGCGACCATTCCCGGACGCAGAGCAGAGAGCAGTTCCGCAGCGCTAGTCGCACCCAGGCCCGTAGCCCTACCAGAGAACACCTGCGCACCGAAAGCAACGCCAGCGCCAGACTGGAGGACGGCTACCAGGGCACTCCCCCTCGCACCCGCGAGCGGCGGGAAAAGGACAAGAAGACAATGTTGTCCCGGGCCCTGCAAAAGGCAAACACGGCCGTCCTGCTCGACAATGCACAGAACTTCGAGGGTGCCATGGAGGCGTACGAGGATGCGTGCAAACTACTGCAGCAGGTCATG